AAGCTGGGCCACATCGGAGCCTCAGCCCATCATAAACAGCTCTGGGAGAGGGATGGCCCTGCAGGGTTGTCTCAGATCAGAGTGAAGGGGCCAGGCTTTATATATCACTCACTGCAACTGTCTCTGGGAAGGAGACGTGCCCTGGGGCGAGGCATCTTCGCCTACCTGCCTCCAGCCTGAGGGCTGTCTCTAGAGCAGCTCTAGCAGCTGGGGAAACTCCTTCACTCCTTGGGATACACAAGAGCATGCACTGTGTCGCTACTTTGGAATGAGTTATTCTGTTTATAGGAAGGAATTTTACAGAAACACTGACAAATGTTTGAAATCACATGGTTTAGCACTGCCTATAATAGCAAAATTACATAAAATGAACTGTAATGAACTCCAGAAACTATTAACAAGAATGAGGCAGCTCTCTGTGTGCTCTTGTGGACAAACTGTAAGACAGGTTAAGTGAAGACTCAGTGCTCAGATGGGTTAGGGTGAGTAGAGGGCCAGTGTGAATGTTAATGGGGTGGACTGTGCCAGTGCCCTTGAGGAGCTCCTGCAGGAGCATGATTTCCCACCCTCTGGGTACAGTGATCTCTTGAAGAGTGTGACACTGCACCTGCTTTCCCATTAGAATTTGACTAGAAGATGGCACGGGTGCGGGTGGCAGGGCAGAGCATATGAACTGCTGCCTCTCTGCATCTCTTTGAAGATGCAGCCTGACGTGACATCCGGTTCTGCACAGCCACACTCACACCTAGAGCTCACTGAGCACTAGTGCATGTGCCAGGTTACATCTGACATGGTCAGACTGGACTGGGTACAAATAGGTTCCTCTTCATAAACTCAGTTGCAAAGGATCAGCATTGGGGAGATTAATTTGTTACAATCACAATTACACTCAGTTTCAAGTTTTCAGCAAACGTAACTTGCAAAGTTAATATTAAGAAGCAGCACAGAAAAGGCCAAAGGTGCGACCTTCTGGCGAGCCATGAAATATATTTTTTCAAGGTGTATTTCTACCGTGTAATTATTTCACACCAAGGATGATGTACCTTATCACCAACCCACCACCTGGAGAATGAGTATGATGCCTGGTTTCATTATCTCATCAACATCTGTTCTAGAAAATGTTACACAGTCTTTGCAGTCAATATCTACAGCTAAAGTAAATTCTAAGAAAGATCATCTTGGAACAAATCATGGGTGGAAACCTCAAACACATATGAAAATATATAAAATCAGACTCAGTATCCCAATCTGAAAATCCAAAATCCAAACAGCACCAAAGTCCAGAACTTTCTGAGTATCTGCGTAACACCACAAGGGAAACCTGGCCTCATGTGACGAAGGTCAGTCAGGGCACAGGTAAAGCACTGCCCAACATTACTGTCAGGCCACGTGTGCAACATATGCATGAGATTCAATGCAATTCATGTCCAGACCTGGTCCTGCCCCCAGGTACACTGTTGTACATATGCAAATATTCCAAAATCTCCATGAGTTTGAAATCAGAAATACATCTGGTTGCAAGCATTTGGATAAGAACTACTCAAGCTATCTGGGGTCTGAAGTGTTTAAAATATGTATTTTAAAGGGGAAAATCACACTTCTTTTCAGAAGACATGCATGTTGAAGAAGCACAGAAAAAGCAGAAGACAGACAGATGTTCGCCTAACTCCATCCAACTCCAATACCAAGCATGGACGGTGTCCCAGGGCGCCTGGTTCTCCGATGTGAGGCTGTGGCCCACCCAGCTTCCTTCCCAGGCTTCCCTTCCATCTGCTACAGATCCCACCGCTGGCCTCTGTGCCTTGGAACCTCTGTTAACACTGAGGGAAGACTGAGCATGATGATTTCAGTCCTCTCCTTTTTCCACGAGGCCCAGACTCTATCCCACCAAGCCCCGGGCGCTGTGAGTCTACTTAATAGTAATCCATTGTCAACTGTGTTTCTTAGCCACCCAGGGCTGACCTGTGCCTCACATACAAACAGAGGCGAGTCTGACATGCCAACCACACTGGCCGGGTCCTCTGAGGCCCTCCTAGGACACTGCTGCAAGGACCCCACTGGACCCCAGGGAATTCTGGGCGGTGGGATGCAGAATGATGTGCCTCCACCTCCCCAGGCCCTTGGATTCTGGACTGGGAGAGCCCGACAAGTATGTTTTGCACCAGGAGGAAAAGGGAGGAGAAGGGCAGAGGCTTCTTCTAGCCAACCACAACTAACCCTCTTGCTGTATCCAGCAAAACCCAGATGGTGCAATTATCTGGTTAATTCGGTCCTAGTGAGAGACTGGTTCCCAGAACCGAAGACCAGCTTAGACTAAACAGTGGCTTCTCTCCTAAGCCTTTCTCCAAGTCCTGCAGGACACACACTAGATTCCTGGGGATTGCTTATGTGACTGACCTATTGATCCCGGCGGCCACAGAGGAGCGATACAAAGGCCAAGACGGGTTTGGGAAGGTAAGTCTTCCAGGGAAAAACGCCTGAAATAACCTGCTAATTGGTTTCCTGGCCTAATTACCTTCTGGCGTCCACAGAGAGACATGGCCAGGAGTCAGGAGGATGAAATCCGCCAAGGTTCCCAGCGTGACTGCAGCCCTGGGTGCACTGGCTGCGTGTCCCAGGCCCCTTGGTGAGTTATTCTAGGGCGATCCCTCTGCAGTCCCTGCTCAGGGATTTCGGGCCTACACTTTGGGCTACAGGAAGTGCTAAATGGGAGAAACTACAGCCACTTCCGGGGTGGCCGCAGTGGGGAGAGCAAGGCAGATCCAGCTGCCAACTGGGCATGTGCCGGACGGGCGGTTATGGAAAACCCAGATTCTGCGGGAAGATCACGGCCCAGTGACTCACCCCTCTTGGAAACTGGTGAGCAGCCTGGAATCTGCGGAATCTATCAGTTACTCCCCTGCACATTCTTCCTTCGGGTCAGGCCCTCTGCTACTTACATTCTAAAACCCAACCGGCCGTGGTCTACCCTCACCAAGTAACCCCACCCTAAAATACATGGCTGCAAACCCAGGGTAAGGCTGGGAAGGAGCAGTTGAGGGACCTGGACAAAGAACAACCCAGGCACCGTTGAGACTCGATGCGCCTTTAGCTATGGGCTTTGAGGTTAACACTCATCTTCCCTCTGTCTTTTTGGGACAGGGTCTCGATGGCCTCGAGCTCACTTTGTAGCCCAGGCTGATCTCAAACTGCAAAGATCCTCCTGCCTCCTGCCTCAGCCTCCCAAGTACTGGGATTACAGTTGTGTGCCACCACACCTGGCTTCAAGGTTAGCACTTTAAGGGTCGTTTGCTCCAGCTGTGGTAGTGTGGTGGGGGTCTGGCCAGGGCACACCCCCAGCAGCAGGGTGGACAGACACAGGACTATGGGGTCGGTCAGCAGCATGGGTGAGGGGTACATGGAGGCACAGGAGACTGTGCCCACTCCTGTCAGGAGGACGGTAGGGGGTGTCCTCTTCACCAAGGAGGGCGCTGGGAAGAAGTGCAGGACAGGCAGGGGGACAGAATGGCTGCTTTGGAGCCCACCAACTGGACAGCCACCCCTCTGGCACCCTGCTGCACTGCCCTGAACCCCACTTGCTGGAACCCTGTCCATCCTCAGCCCAGGCCAGGCAGCCACCACCCTCGCCCAAGCCGCTTTGGACCCCTCAGCTGCCCTGGGAGGTACTGGGGCTGGGGCTGACCTCCGGTCTCCTTGCAAAATCCTCCAGACTCGCCTCACCTCCCTTCCTAGACCACAGGCTTCCTTGGGACTCGGCCCAGCTTCTACACCCTCAGTCTCTGCAAGAACTTCGCTGACAGAGTAAATACTTGACAAATATTTGTAAAATGAACAAAAATAACCTGCTTTCTGCCGTGGAAGGAACACCAGGAGACAGTGGGCTCACTCGCAAGCCATGGGGTCAAGCTGGGATGCAGACCGCAGGCGTGGCTGCCTGAGGCCCGGCAGGCTGACCTCAGAGGGTTTTCTGCCCCCTGACCCCGGGGCTCGAGACGGGCAGGGAGGAGCGAGACGGGCCAGCCAGCCCTGGTCCTGTGGCTGTGCTTCCTTCAGTTAACATCTGGCCAGGGCCTGGTCCGTCACACTCACACCCGGGCCTTTGCAGTGAGAGAAGAGAGGGAGGGCGATGGACAGGAGAAGAGGGAAAGAAAGACAAGAACTGGACGGAGAAGACGGGAGGAGGAGCAGCCGGCAGCAGGAAGGAGGAGTCATGGCCTGCAGGGCCCGTACCAGGCTCCAGGCTGGGCACCTCCCCACAAGCTCACGGCCACTGACGGACGCGTGTACCGGCCACATGCAGAGGAAGGCTGCAAGGGGCTTGAGCGCTGCTCAACTAAGGCCGCGCAGTCCGGGGGCACTGGGCCTGGAACCCAGCCGAGGCGAGGTTCTCCCGGGTGGAGCCGAGGGCCCCCATTCTGCCCTGCACTCCCATCCAGCCTTGAGCAAGACTGTGTTTCTCCCCACGTAAATGGAGAGCCCGAATACTGATCCGGAAGCAAGGGGAAGAGCTGGGGTTCTCGGCTCCGATCTCTCTCGAGGTTTGAGATGATTTAACACCAACAATGATGCCAGGAGACTGTGCGGAGAGAGATGGAGTCGCCCGCTCAGTCCCGAGGGGATGTGTGCCAGCTCAACAGGACGCGCTCTCAGGCCTGCTTCCCGGCCAGAACGGTCACGGGAGATGTCAAGGGCCACGGGCGCAGCATGGGGAACACAGACTCTCGGGGAGCCAGTCCCGTTTCCATCGGAGCCCCTCTGATTGTGACTGTCTCTTTTTGGTAGAATCAGCTGCTATTTCGCATGTGCTTTGAAAACTTTGCTGCTAAACAAAAGGCTGCAAATTATTGGACCAAATAATTCTGGACTTCAGTGAAACTCCAGGTCTATCTGAGTCAGGGCACTTCGGTTATTATAATTCATTATCAAAAAGATGGGACCGAGGTCTCTCCAGGGAATGGCTTGGGAAAGGGGGAGGGTGGCCAAGCTGTGTCTGCACCTACCTGTTCCACTCGGATCTCAATTTCTCCGTTCAGCTTCTTTCCACAGAAATACTTTGCCCTGCAAGGAGAGAGAACGGTGAAGGCGGACGTCCTCTTTGCCCTGGCCTCCCGTCCCCAAAAGCCTTGCCCCCGGGGGTCAGCTCAAGGCTTTCTCCACCTCCCTCTCGCACTTGTGACTGCGAATGTCACCCTTGGGTGGCGCAGGGGAAGATGGGACTCGAGGTCCGGTCCTGTCCAGGTGGCCTCCCGGCACCTTGGTGTTATCACCTGTAATGAAGGCACTGACACCCGCGCTGCACACGTCCAGAGGTTAAAACGAAGAATGAATAAACACAGCAGCACGGTTTTACTGAGCAACAACCTAAGAACACAGGGAGCCCCACCAAGGACTCACCCAGGACTCACTGCCCGACCCACTGGCCACCTCAGCGTTTGTCCACGCGGCCAGCGGAGCAGCAGTCACCTGCCCCTCCCCCTTTCACCCCCCGCCCACGTCTGTGGACTTCTCAGTCCTCTTCCCCAGCAGCATGGCTAGCAGCTGACCCACCGCTGGAGGCAGAGGCGGAGGCTGCACCGGGGACTGCTTCTGTCTTCTGTCCCCCGACTCTGCGTCCCGACTGCCTCAAAGCCGATGTTCACCTGCCTGTCTTTCTCCATCTTTACACTAATCCTGACCCACAGTCCATCTCTCTTCTGACACAGCTGTCTTCTCAAACTCAGCTTTTATTTCTTACTGTTGGAACGGAACCAGAACCAGAACCAGAACTAGCACTGGTGATGTGTCCTGTGCCCGTATCTCACAGAATGACCACAGCTCCTGGCGCTCAGGAAGGACCTGTCCAGCTGCCCATTCTGTTCCCAGAGCCAGCAGCGTGATGCACACGCAGGGGGCTCGCCTCACACCTGGTGAGCAGCTAAGTGGCCGAAGAGACCGGCAAGCTTTTGGAATTTCATGCTCACAACCAAAACCACGAGGTAAGCATTTTCATTTCCATTGTGTAGAAGGCGAAACTCAGAACCTCAGAGCCCATGCTTGGCCTGCGCAACTGGAATCCAGGCCTTGTTTGTCTTGTTTGGCTCTGTCAGTGCGCGTTTGCAGCGCACAGAGCTCACATTCGCCATGGGAGTTTGTCCCTCCCCGACGCCTCCCCGCTGCCCTCCTCCCAGTGAGGACGGCCTGCCTCCTCCTTCCTGGGCCGTAGCCTCACCTGGGCCTCCACTCCACCACGCGCTCTGCAAACTCCTGAAAAGCAGCAGCCCCAGTTGGAGTGCTGGTGGGTTGGTTAGACGCGTCCCAAGAACAGAGCCAAAGGAACCCATCGGGCCTCTCGATTACTGCTGTAATTGAAACTCACAGCTCTGGTGGCCCGCGGGGTCCCAACGCTATGTGGGGCCTTTCCGTGAACCTCGCGTGGACAGCGACAGCGCTCCTCTTCCCAGGCCTGTTCCGCCCTCCCCCAGCAGGAGAGCTGATGCTTCAGGACAGGAACCCTGCGCCAGCCCCCCGCCAGCGAGGGCGGCCGTGTGGTCGAGCGCTAATCACTAATTTGGAAGCGTTTCATTCAAGAAGCTTCTCTGTAGCTTCTCATTCCATTCTTTTCCCTGGAACATGGGTGTTGCCAACTATTTCTCAAATCTCTCCTTTGTGAAAGACTCCTTTCTATAAATTCGCAGACTGCTTCTGTCTGTCTGTTTTCAAAGCTGCTCCGTCGAAGCCCGGCCCTGGCCGGTGGAGTCCTGCCCGCCCAAGCCCGCCGGAATCGCTGACAGACAGCTCCTGGAGTGGTGCCACTTTCTCTTCCCATGTGGACAGTCCAAGACGTCGCTGGGTTTATTTTTGTGGGACAGGAACTGCTGATGTGACTTGAAAGTGAGATTTTGGGTTTTTCTTCCAGAGATGCTTTTCAACAAAATGCGTGTGCAGCAAGCCTCACGCCCAGGGAACCTGCAGAGTCTGTGGTTGCGTCACCTGTCAACAAGTTCCGGACACCTCTAGTATCCATGGGGCCCAGAATGCATCATATGTCCAATATTTAAAACAGATAGACAAAATCAGAAAACATTTTGATAAAACACACTTGCTGCCTTCCTTGACAACTCATAATGGCCTTGAAGATTCAGAATTTGGGCCCGAAAGTTTTGTGGCTCCCCAGGACTAAGGGGCACAAGGCTGGCCGGTGCTTGGTTCTTGCTTCTCTGTTTCTCCACAGCCCAGAACCTTAATTTCCCACCGTCCTCTGCCCTGCTCTGTGTCCCTGAAGATTCCGCCCAGGTTCATGCATGGCCCAGCTCCACCTCCTCCCCACAACCCCAGACAGCAGCCTCCCGGCCACCTTTTGGGAGCCTGGGCCGAGGAATTGGCTTCACAGCTCCTGGGATTAGGACGAGGCCTTTCAGACACAGAAACCCAGGCCTTGGGCACCCAGAGCACCACTCAGGGCGCAGTTTTCAGGGCCCCAGGGTACAGCACCTTCACCCTGCTGGCCCCTCTGCCTACGAAGCAGGGCGTGACTAGGAAGAGCAGAGTAGGGTGCAGGATGGCATCCTCTGGCACTGCGGGGGCCTGGGCCCTCAGGAGGGCAGCCTGGGATGCAAAGCATGCTGGGAAGACAAGCAGCTGGAGTCAGGATGTGGGCTGAACCCTGGCTCCACGACTCTGGCCCTGTGTGTCTAAGATAGGGCTCTGACCCCCAGGTCACCTCCCCCTACAGGAGGTGAGAAACAAACTCACTGGGCCTCTGAGAAGGTGGCAGTGAGGTGACTGCAGCCGGATACAAGCCCACCGCTCGGCAGCCTTGGGTGTGTTCTCCACCCCAGCGCCTCGGTTTCCTTATTTGGGAAGCAGGGATGTGGACGGATGAGGACGGCAGCTGCCTCACAGGGTCGCTGTGAGGATTAAATGAGCGAGAAGCAGGAGGGGCTCAGAGCCTCCCCAGCTGCAGCCCAGGGCTGGAGCGGGAGCCCCAACAACAGAAACAGTGAGTGTGTCCCCCGCCACCGAGTGGGTCAGGCGCCCACAAATAAATGAAACACAGCGATGCCTCCCCCAGCCCGGCTCTGCCTGCCCAGCATGGTCCCAGGACAGACCGGAAGTCGTCACATACCCCCTGCTGGCCTTCGGGCAGCCCAGCGGTCATGGCAGGGGTCACCCTGCAGGCTCCAGAAGGCGATGCCCATTCATCTCTGCCACCCAGTGCTCTGGAACTTTCATGAGTGCAGGGTTCAACTCAGGCCTGGTCTTTCCTGACCCAGAGCCCCACAGGCACCCAGGGGTCACCCCGCTTCCCTCCTCAGCCTTGGCCAGCATCCTCCACGTGCAGGGCACTCATGTCCTGTCCTCAGCCTCCGCCTCAAGACCCTGGGTGCCTCCCACTACTCTCGCCCAGGCTGGGCCTTGCACACTGTGCCCACCCTGCCCCCGGGTGGCTCTTCCCAAGCTGGGAGCTTGGCTGCAGGGCTCGCCATGCCTGTGTGTCGCAGACGCAGGCACGAGCTGAACAAACGTGGTCTGCTGGGCCAATGAATGAACAACGGCAATGGCGGCCCTGCACACAGGCACCTCGTCCCCAACACACTGCCACCTGCTGGTTCCTCGTGGTCACACAGGTCCTTGTCCAGTGTCCAACCTGCACAACCACCCACCTGGGGCTGGATTCTCGCCCCAACCCCACAGCACTTTGTGGTGCACCGGCACCACCCATCAGCTCCACCCTGATGTGGCCCCCTTTTTTCTTTGCCCGTCTCTGGAATGTTTACTGCAGGGCCTGGCTGACAACAAGGCAGGGCGAGGGTCAGGCCGTCCATCCCCCTGCCTGGCCCAGAGTCAGCAGGCTGTCTCCTGATGGGCCACACAGACTGCGGCCTCCCGGCCGGCGTTCATTCAGGCCTGGCTTGGCAGAGGGGAGGGAGGATGGTGTGGAATTCCAGATGCCCTGCGGGCTGGGCCTGCTGCCTGGGTCACTGAGTGGCTGTGTGACCTCAGGCCGGACAGACAGGCCCTCTGTGCCCAGGGCTTTGTCTCTGAGCTGCCTCCTCCCTGGCTTATTCCGCTCACCCCACCTCTGCCATCAATCAAGTCCTGGCCTCGGAGGGGGCGGAGCTGTGGGTTCCAGAGCCCCGGTCTTCATGGGTGGCCCCATCTTCAGAGCCACATCGAGGCCCCAGGAAGGAGAAACTGCAACAGTGCCTCCGGGCGGGGCAGGCAGAACTAGGCCTGAGTGGCCCTGGTGTGGGGAGGGATGGGCGCGAGACACAGAGACGGCCTCCAGCGCCCACCCGGACTCGCCCACAAGTCTGTCCTGGATGTGATGCTCCAGGCCACGTCCTCCGGGGGAGGGCGGCGGGGACCTGCTCAGTGGCCCCCACTGGGCACCCTTTCAGAGCTTCCTGCTAGCTGCTCATCTGGGGACTGGGCAGAGGTGGACAGACAGACCGCACAGAGGACTGCTAAGGACAGGCACACTTGGGCTTCCTGTTAGCAAGGCGAGGGCATCACAAGGGGCAAACGCAGGGCCGTAGGACTCAGAGGGCCCTGGATCTGCCTGCAGCTCTGTCCTGCTGCCCGGTGGACCTCACACACTTATGGGAAGAATGGGCTATGGAGAAAGGGGGTTTGGAGTGTGATGTGGGGAGCAGAGAAGTCACGGAGGCTTCGCTGAGAGACCCCACACGGATGCTGGCAACCACCTGCCACGCACGGAGCCGTCGGCCCAAGCAGCACCGCATGGAGACCGCACGCTGCGTATCTCAGGGGCTCTGGGGGGGGCACACAGACAGACACGGCCTGCAGAGCGGTCCCCAGCCCAGCCTGCGGCCGGGAGCTGCTTTCCCCTGAGGGGTCTGGATTGCCCCCCAGCCCACCCAGGCTCTGGTAGTGACCCTCTTCCATGAGCATTCAGGGTCGGGCGCAGTGTGCGTTGGGTGGGAGGAGACGCAGGCAAAGGCAGATGAGCTGGGCAGGCACAGGGCACACAGTGACCAGCTTCCCTGAGGCACAGAGCAGGAGCTCTGGGTGGCACGGGCAGCCTGGACATCAAGGGATGACCCTGGAGCCGCCAGAGTGGGGATATGAGGCTCTCCTTGAAGTGGTCAGGAAGTTAGTGAAGCCCTGGCGGGTTGGCCCCTGGGAGCTGCTGAGGTGCCAGGGAAGGGATGCCCACTGGTGGGCTGCTGGGGCCACCTTACATCCCCACTGAAGAAATGGACTGCTGCCCAAGTGACAGGCCCTCCCGTCCAGCTCTGCTACCTATTTCTAGTGTGGCCTCAGACAAAGGTCAACCTCTTAAACCCACTGTGAAAACGAGGACATTTCTACGTCCACCACTGGGACCTCGCAGTGGACATCTCCAGCACACGGCGGCGTTTCACTCTTTTCCACGATGGGAGGAGACGGGGGGCCCCTGAGTGTGTCCTGGAGCAGTGACAGGTGATCCCTCTCTAGGAAGGCTCTGCCTGGTCCAGCACGCTGCCTGTGACCCCCCACGACAGGCCTTCAAGGTAAACAAGTCATGAGTTGCCCTTCTGGCTGCCGCAGAGGACAGGGAGGAAATCATGTCCCGGTGGCTGTCGCTCTCTCCACAGATGCGATGTGACGAAGCCCACGGCCTGCACCACCGCGCAGGTGAGTCGTGCCCTCCACAACCCTCCACTGAACATCGAGGGAGGCCCAGAGAGGTGCCTGAAAGGTAACTCAGACTGAGGTGTGAAGACCTGCATCCAAAGAGTGTTGACAGTACAGGCAGGATGACAAGAGGATGCGCGGACTCGGAGTGTCTGACTGAGAAAGCAGATGTGAAGGGTGGGGCGGGGCACAGAGGAAAAGCTGAGGACATCTGTCATCTGTCCTTTCACGTCTCTGCTCATTCCTACGCTTCTACCCACCTGTCTATCCATCTGTCAGTCCATCCATCTGTCCAACCATTCACTGCTTAGAGCTCAGCACTGTGCAAGTTCCCTGGAAATTACTCTAAACCAAACAGAGCCCCCTGCCCCCAACAAAAACAAGGAATGGTGTTTACATTGGAGCAGGAAGGTTCTGGCCGCTCTGTCCCAGGGAGGAAGCAGCCCGAGTGTTTACCCCGACTCGCGTCTCTCACATCCAAAGTCGCCCACTGGCAGATGCCGTGAGGTCACCGACTGTTCTGCTGGGCTGAAATTGAGCTTTTGCTTTTAAGCTCTAAGATTCTTATAAAGAATCCTGGCTTTCCTGGACCCCAGTGACTTGGTCCCAGCTGGGCCTGGCTCCTGCATGGCACAGGCTGGCAGAGGGGCCTTCGGAGGGCACAGTGCTCTGCCCCCCGCACAGCATCCCTGCTCCCTGTCACCTCTGCAGCCCAAACCAAGGGGCTGATCCATTTGTCCCGGAGCCTGTGCTGCTCTGTCGTGTAGCAAGGACACTTGATCCACCTCCCTCCACCCCCGAATGTGTCCCCTCAATCCTTGAAGCCCCCCAAGGATGACAGCGGGCTCACTGAAAATCTCCAGGAAAGCCATGCCCATCCTAAGAGCCCAGAAGGGAGGACAGGAGAAAGGCAGGAGCCCAGCCCGCTCCTGCACACCACAGTGTGGCAGGCTTGCATGGGCCTGGGTGGGTGAGAGAGGTGCGTGTGGGGGGCTGGCATCTGCCCTGAGGATCCTGGTCCCTGAAAGGCTGGGAGTCAGCTCGAGCTGCTGAGCGGCCCCTTCAAGAGCAGGTGGCAGGAGAGCCTGGCTCGTGTGGGACAAGGTCACACAGTAGGTGAGTCAGCCAGTCCTCCAGGGAAGGCAAGGCCAGGACACGGCGGGAACTGGACACAAGGTCAAAACACAGAAAGAGAAGAGCTCGGGCCCCAGCCTTCTCCCAGGGCCCGTGGCCCAGCGCATCACAGCCTGAGCCCTGAGTCCCAAAGCCAAGCTGGGCTTGAGCCCTGCCAGGGACGGTGCTCGGTCATTCCCCAGGAAGCACAGCTGGGCTCATCAGTTACTTTTATTTATACTCAGCTGGACGCTGCAGTTTATGGAGCTGAAATGGGTCTCCCTCTCTTTCCCCACCGTCTGGGGTTTGGAAGCCACACGTGGCCAGTCTTCTAACTTAGTGGCCTCTAGCGTTGGCCTTCCTCAATGCACACAGGGGTTTCCGGCCTCCACTCGGGACATGCTGGGCCCACTGTCCAGCCCAGTCCTCCTGTTTGTGCATCTGTGCAGATGGACTCATGCTGCCCTCCTGAACTCGGGCTTGGTGAGATGGGAAGCATCCCAGGAAGGAGGAGAGGAGCAAGCTTAGCTGATTCTTCCCCAAGACCTGGAGCTCTGAGCAGAGAGAAGCAGGGAGACAGCACAGAGTGGGTCACACGGGGACCGCCTGGGCCTCCAGCCACCAGAACCAGAGCAGCCGGCAGGGCTTGCAGAGGCCGGGTCTGCACTCGCTGCTTCATCCTTGGGAGCTTCCCTGGCACGTCCAGCCTCGTCGGCCGGTGGATTTTCCCGTGAGATGAACGTTCTCCCTAGAGCAGAGGAAGCACACGGGGGTCTGCTCATTGTCCTGATGGAGACGTCTCTGGGGTCAGGGTCTCAATCCATCCTCACTGTCCTGTATACAAGGAGACAGAGGCCGAGAGAGACAGCGCCTCCTGTCCCCAAGATCCCAAGGCATCCGCCACACCCCTTAGGAAGGGGCGAGGAGAAAGAAGTCAGCAAGAAATAACACGATTGATCGGGCTTTCTCCCACAGCTCTTCCGCTCGGGAACTTCCCCCAGGTTTCCTCACCCCTTTCTGAGGGGGATGCTCCCCCCAAGATGCAGCTAGGCGGGGTAACAGCCCTGCAGCGTCCCCCTCCTGCCCTCTGTCCCCGTCAGCTGGGAACGACGAGCAGGGCACCAGCCCTTCGATTGGACGACTGCAGACCTCACGGAGCGGGGTCAGTGCTTGAAAAATTCCTCAAGTCAAAGGGGCTCGGGGCTTGGGTGCCGCACAAGGCCCTCACTGTGTGCGCACATTGTCCCCCTGATAAAAGGGGCCGGGCCTGGGAAAGCAGCACGGTCTCCCGGCGACTGGGCAGGCGGCTGGGGAATGCCAGGCGGTCCCCGCCCCCAGGCACCAGGGCCCAGGGAGAGGGTGCTGCCAGGAGGGACAGCCCCACCAGGTGACACTGGGTGGCATGTTTGGGTCAAGGAATGAGGCAGGCAGCGTAGTGACAAAGCCTCATCTCCTACAGAAATCCTCCACTGCCCCCAAACAGGCAGGGCTGCCCCCGAGGGACGGGAAGTGGTGGCAGAGGCTGGAGGATTGTCCCCCAGGGCCGAGTGTCTTCAACAGAGCCCCGTGTGTCTGTCCTGCGCTCTCCACTGACTCCAGGAGCAGGGGCAGCTTGCATTTCTGCGAGTGACCTCCAGCCTGCCAGGCCCCAGATGTCCCCTCCAGGGCTTCTGGATGGTGGCCCTCGGGCACGGCCAGCTGCGGGAGGGGCCAGCCAAGTGGCTTCTGTCCCCTGGCTTCCAGAACTGGATAGTCACAAGCAATTAGCAACTGCAACTAATTGCTAATAACAGCACCATTCAGGGCCCACGGCATCAGGCTGATGGTAAAGACGTGTGCAGAGGCTCCACACATGCCTCTCACTCATGGGGACCCCCAAGACTGTCTTCAGGACAGAGCCCCAAGCCTGCTCCCAGCTCTGGGTCACAGGTGCTCTCATACCTGAGACGACTACTATCCCTGGGCTGTGGGGCTCCAGATGGTCACCCACTGTGCCACCTCTGGTGACACAAGCCTCCTGGTTGCTGAAAATGGGGTGAGTCAGGGGACCCAGCTTGGCTTCTGGGTAGAAAGCTAGGAGCTCAGAGGTCAGTCTGACAGCTGGTTCTCATAACTCGCCCCATAAAAAGCTAAAGGATTTCTGATGAGCTACAAATCAGTTTGCATGGGAAACGCTTACATCCACCACTATAAGTACCAGCTGGGTACTGGTGTGTTTCCCTGCTGGACCTGACAGCCCTCCACCACAAGCCCAGCCAGTGACATCCGCTCCAAGTTCACACCTGTCAACACCACCCCCAGAGGCACAGACAAAGCAGTGTCTTCCCAGTCACTGTGGGTCAGTGAGACCCCTGCACGTCCCAGGGGAGTGAGTGTGGCTGCCCCGGTCCTCAGAGCAGCTTGGCCTCTCCGGTGGGGGCTGGGCTCTCTGTGTGGTCAGCAGAGTACCCTGAGACAGACTTCCCCAGGCCTGCTCAAGCCCAGACTTCCCAAACTGTAATGGTCTTGCTTGAGAGCATCTATTCAGTTGCCAACTAACGCCATCTGTCCAGGTTTATCACGTGCCAGGCCCCATGCTGCACTGTAGGACATGATGGCCAAACGGGGCAGGCCCAGACTCTGCCTTCGGGAGGTGGTATTGGACAGACCTGGTCACACATGAGTATGAGGGGACGGGGCCACTGTAACCACCCCAAGGCAGTCGGTGGTGATGGAAGGATCCCACTTCACAATGGAAGAAACCGAGGCTCAGAACAGGAAAGCGGCCAGCCAGGGCCACGGAGTGGAGAGCGGAGGAGCTGGGACCTGAACCCCATGCCACCACGTCCACCCTGCATTCACCCCACTTCTTGCTCTTTCCCACTTGGTCTGGGGAACAATACTTGATCTGTGTTGGGAAATTGCATCTTTAATAGCAAACTCAGGGAAGGAACAGAAAAGAGTCTGGTTGCTTTAACGGGGGGGGGGAATATTCCCCATGTACACAAAGATGATTTCTACAAAAGGTACCACTGGCTGGCTAGGCTGAGACAGGAGGGTTTTCTCTGGGTTCCTGGGCAGGGCACCCTGATTCAGGCAGGCACTCTCGTCTGGGGATCCACTGGGTTCTGTGCATGGCCTCCAGGTTGGGATATGGGGTCCTGCTGCCTCCTGTGCTCTCAGACACGGGTGGGCTCCAGGTGGGAGCGGGGGCACTGGCAGGGGATCACAATGCCTGGGCCAGAGCCGGGCCCCAAACATGAGAGCACTGTTCAAATGTGGGGCTCGGGCCGCAGTTTCCTTATGTATGAGAGTGGTTATTAGCGCTGAACTGGGCAACAGCAGAGCCAGGCGGGGTCATGTATGGCCCCAGACAGCGCACAGGTGTCCCCATGTGACAGTGACAGGGCAGAACTTGTCCAGACAGCCTCAGGCGTAACCTCCCAGGCCTGCGTCCGCACCACTGGTCAGCCTTGGTCGAGCGTGCACATCAGGCTGTGCCGGCAGGAGGCCACCCCTCCAGAGGGCCCAGAACGACGCAGCTCGAGGCAGCTCGAGGGTTGAGACGTGACGTGCTGTGCTCTACCCCTTCTCCTGCTCACTAGGCCCAGCCAGCAGAGGAGACCGCAGGGATCACAGCCTGCAGGAAAAGTCCGGCAGGGCAGGGGAGCCCTGATCTGCAGCCCGACGACCTTGGGGTGTGCATGTGCACCCACCAGGCCACCCTGTCTGCTGAACTGAGGGTTGAGCACATAAAGGGGCTCAAGTGTGCCACAGGCCACCCCTCCACTGCCCGTCACTCACTGCGGGGCTGCTCCAGCTCCTGGGTCCCCCACACAGCCCCAGCCATGTCCCGTGAACCCTTATCTGCCCTGCTGTAAATGGGCTCAGAATCCGGGGTGGGCGGCTGCAGCAGGGCCAGGGACCAGGCAAGCCAGCGGTGTAGTGACGCCGCTAAGACGGAGATACATGCAGAAGCGTGACCGAGGTGGACAGCAGCTGGGGCACCTGGGGCGGCTGCGGACACAGGAGTCTGAAACCAAGGCCACCTCTGCATTGGTCTCCAAAGAGTAAGAGAGGAAAGAAAGCACAGAAAAGGGTGTGGAAGGAAGGAGAAAGCAGCAATAGATCGTTGTGGGGATGGAACCGCAGACACCCTGGGAAGGAGGCCAAGTTCAGGCTGGAGGAGAGGGATCCGGGACAGGAGGCCGGGGGGACCAGGGTGGTCATGGGGGCCCCGGAGGCCGTGGGGGCCGAGGAGGCCGAGGAGGACGTGGGGGCCCAGGAGGCCATGGGGGCCCAGGAGGCTGTGGGGGCCCAGGAGGCCGTGGGGGCCCAGGAGGCTGTGGGGGCTGAGGCCGGGTTGCTCTCACCGCCCCTGCTCTGTCGGGATGCCAGACGTAGTGGGGAAGAGGACAGCCCTCCTGGCTCTGATCCTTTTCTATCTTCGATGATTTGGCTTTGAAAATCAACCTGTGGTTTTGACGCATTCTAGGGCAAAAGAAAAAGTAGATCTTGCCTTTCCTTTCCTAGCAATCTCCAACGTCAGCCGGACAGCAACTGCTAAATAAAGGGCCAAGGTCGTGCAGCAAGGGAATGCACACAGGAAGCCTCCTCTGGGGCTGTGGGTGACGGCCAGGGTGAGGGGGCTTCAGGGCCACTGCACACATTGCACGTCACCAGGTCGGACTGGGGTGGGGACAGGGATGCACACGTGTGCAGAAGGACTCCTGGGCACAGGGAGACAGGGCCCGTCTCACAAGGGAGCACCTGTCTCACAGCGCCTGGCGCATGGCCTTTAGGTCGTGCAAAGGGAGTGTTACCAGCGCACAGGCAGGGTGTGCATCCACGCCCTCACTGGCTTCTGAGGACAGGCTTCAGCTGCCAGGTGGGCAGGGAGGGGCAGGGAACCAGAGGGGCCACCCCCACGGGAAGAGGGGTGCTGGGGCTGCAGCCAGCTGCAGAGTGCTGCCAGTGACACAGTCGGGGGCGCAGGCTGGGGACTCGGGTGTGGATTTTAGGGAGCGGAAGTGTGGGGGAAGGGCTGTACGTGGGTATGGGGCAGGCAGCAGAGCACATCGCAGCTGGGTGAGGTTCAGAAAGAGGACTTTGGTGGAACCATGGGAGGGAGCCGGGGGTGAGGGCCAGGCCGGGCCGGTGAGGCTGCACTTGACAAATTCTAGGCATGAGAACCAGGGCAGACGCGGCGAGCAGAGGAGGCTGAGCTACCCCACCAAGATCAGCCTTCATTCTGCACTGCCTGGAGCGGGCCTTCGGGGGCACCCAGTGCTCCAAGACCTCTCAGATGATGAGCCCTTCTTCCAGGGAGGGAGGCCCAGGGACTCACAGCCCCTACCAGCAGAGCCCAGACGGTGGTGGGGGCTGGCATTGCCTCCCTGGCCTGCGAGGGCATCTATGCTGCAGGACCCAGAACGGGAAGCGGGGACACGGCCCTGCTGGGGCGGGAAGACAGCAAAGGGGGCCGCGCTGCCACTGTGGGGCGGGCTGGGTTCACTCTGAGTCCAGACTGGCTCACGCCTGCCTTGTTGTCCTCTCAAAGCAGGAAGAGAGGAGGCTCTCCTTTGTGTGCACGGCTTCTCCCCGCCACGACTTCCTTCTCCCTGGACAAGGTGTCCACAGTGCACGGTCAGGAGGGGGCTGAGCAGGGGCCACCCTCAGCTGCCAAAGGACCCTGGGCCGGCCGGGCTGGCCCGCCACCTGTTGGCCACTTTGGGTAGTCAGGAAATGCAGCTGGCCGGACTCAAACTCACCCGCCGGGTGACACCTGGAATGTGCTGACTTTGGGAGCAGCTCGGATGTCCATGAAGACTCCAGGACAGAGAGCTCCGTGGGAGCAGCAGCGGCTGGTGACAGGAGGCCCCTCTAGGAAGGCAGAGGGGCAGCTCAGCTCCTGAGTCCTCGATCCTCCTCCTTCGTTCGTTCGCACCCAGTGAGGGGCAAGCAGGATGTCCAGACAGCAAGACCTGACTGAAGTGCAGGCAGGTGACGCGTGACAGGATACACAAGAGGCTCCTGTGGCCAAGACTGTCACCGCATGCACAGGCCAGGGCGGATTCGCACGCTGGTCGTTCCTGTGACCTCCCTGTCCCCTGTGCCCCTGACCTGCCCTGCCCCTGACACGCACAGGCAGAGACAGATGGGCAAGGCCCACTTCATTCCCTGGAGCTGCCAGGCACAGCGACCGGCAGGAGCCCTCACGCTGCAGGCCAGCCCTAGCCCACGGGCCCAGCATCAGGCCCAGCCATTGCCCAGCTGGCCTTGAAGGGCTGCTGTGGTTAAGTCACACGGGAAGGCCGCAGCTGCCTGCAACAACCTTAATATGCAGTTAAGCAGCACCTACCGACCCCCGGCACACACCGGGCAGCTTCACGTTAATTACCCACACGTGAGACAGGCACTGTGTTTAGATGCAGTAACTTCCCAGGCCGTGTAGCTGCCACGCAGTAGAGGTGTGTTTCACAGCCAGACCCCGGGAGGCTGTCTCCCCGTCAGCCACCGCACTGCACCGCTCTCTGCTAAGCTCCACCTCCATATGGACAAATAATTGAGGAAGAGGTTGTTCGCCCAGCAGAGCATCTTCAAGATCAAGGTCAAACGTTGGGTGAAGGAGGAACAAGGGCTCAGGGGCCCTGCAGCTACGGACAAGCAGGCAGACGGCAGGGGCACTGCAGAGGTGAGAATCTGGGCGCTTAGCCCTGCAGACATCAGGCCCACACCAGGACCGGAGGGGGCACCGGCGCCAACACCTGAGCGGAGGCAGCCATGGCTTCGTGCCCAGGCCGCCACGAAGACGGCTCACGCTGCATCAGAACGCGGGTGAGCCCTGCACTGCCCTGCTGAACGCCAGGCCAGGTCTCAGCAGAGAAGCGGGAATGAAGGGGATCCGGACCTGCAGGCCGCACTTCCTGCCTGCTGGACACTGAGGCTGCACTGAGACTTCGAGGAGCCAACATCTCCGGGATGGAGGTCGGCAGGCACACGGTGGGTGATGCAGCACCTGCATGCACACGTCCATCCAGCCCCCAGAGACTCACACAGGCACAACCCTGTCCTCTGGCCTGGAGATGACACATGGGTCTGACCCGCACACCCTCAGTGCAAGTGGACTACCGATACTGACTCAGGTTCCACAGCGGGGTGGCCAATAGCACCCATAACCACTGCACGATGCCAGCTCAAGCTATTGCCCCACCCTCCAGCTGACCCTTGCTCTAGAATCCCCTGTGGGGAGCCGGACACATGCTCCAGCCTCTTCCCCAAGGATGCCTCTGCCTGGGACACTGAGGGGCTGGAAAGCACCCCACCAGTGGCACCTGAGTCAGAGGCCGTTCCTGAGGCAGACTGCCCAGGTGCAGGGCTCCAGAGAGGACCGTGAGCCTAGTGCTCGCTCTCACCGCATGACAGCCTCACCACGGGCAGGGGTGGAGGTGGGGAGGTGGAAAGCAGATCTTGTGGCTTGGTCTGTGCCCTGTGGTGCACAGCCCTCCCGGGGGCTGGGGGCGGCACCCTGTGTCAAACCCCTCGTGATTCCAAAGCAGCCCCTGCTGCACCCCTGGCCGTGCTCAGCTGGGCCTGGATGCTGGTGGACTGCGCATGCTTCCCAGCCAGCAGGACAACTGGACTCCATTTGCAGGCCGGAGACTGCGCCCCTGTGAGTGACGGCCACTCAGAGTGCATCACTCCCGCCCCCGCAGCCTGTGTCTGAAGCACCACGTGTCTGAGCTCTGTCCCCTCTGGCCCAGCCAGGGCTGGTACCTGTGACTTCTTGCTTACCAGTCGGTGTGGGCATCATCGATCACCAACAGGACCCGGGGCCTCTGGACCACGGGTGTGGCGGGCCCTGCAGGCTCCGTGGGCCCCGCAGGGGCCTGGGCAGATGCAGACGGCTTCATGGCACCAGTGAAGGAACCGAAGAGGCTGGATCCTGGGGAGGAGAAGGAGGCGGCCAGGGGCTGCGTGTGCCTCCTCTCCGTGGCCGGGGATGCCGGGGAGCTGGTGGAGCTGTCGGGGCGCTGCAGGTCCGGCATGTAGCCATTGGGCAGGTTGGCCACAAAGCTGCTGTCTGACAGACGTCGCCTGAGGAAGTTCATGGCTGCGGACAGCGAGGTGAGGACGGATGTGGCTGTCGAGTGCTGCCTGGGGCGTGTGCAGGCGAGGCCAGGAGTCAGCTGCCAGGCAGCAGGAGCGCAGGGCTGCGGCCGGGCGGAGGAGTGGGATTGGCACGGCGGCCAGGCTGCGGGGAGCGCTCCTACCTGCTGGAAACAAGCCAAGAGGCACATTAGCGGCACCGACCTCCGCCCCTGGCAGGGCACACAAAGCACTGCCCTTACCGGGCCGCGGTAATGTAAACAGGACATCCTTCTGGAAGGGAATTTGGCAATGAGTATTAAAGCATACCCTTTTAACCTAAAATTTCCATTTTCTGGAATTCTAAGCCGAGGAAAGAATCTGTTACAGGAAAAAGTCCCAAGCACAAGTGTGTTGATACCACAGTGCTTACATTAGCAAAACCCTGCAACGCAGCATTCAACCGCAGGATGACAAATAAATAAACCACAGCACGGCCACTCAATGAAGCCTTTGTAGCTATTTCAAAGTGGGTATTAAAGAAGGGTTTTTAGTAATGGGAAAAATTTCCTCGCTGTGATGTTCAATAACAAACTCCATGACACAAAATCGTAGGTGTGGAAGGACTGCAACCGTGCAAAGCTGAAATAACTCGGAAATAAACCCGAATGTCAGGGCGATTCCACGTCCTGAGGTCACACGCCTCCTCCCGCCTCCCACTGCCCAGGGGAGCGGGCTCTGCTCCGCGCTCCCACACAGATGGAGCAGTGGTCCGAGGAGCGGAGACTCCAGGAGCTCACTCTGCCCGCACTGGGCAGCCCTCCTGGGAGCCGCGGGCGAGTGCCCCATCCCGGGCCTGCAGCCTGCCAGCCGTGGGAAAAGCAGTATCGGGGTGAAGCCCTGGTGCAGGGAATTTCACCACACCGGCTGGGGCAGACTGATACAGTATGACTGCTTTTCTAAACAGAGGAAAGAACATTTTGAAAAGACTCAAATTGTTTCGGATCAAAATATCCCACTGAGAGCAAAAACTATTTAAACCATAGGATCAGATCACATATTTCATTAAGACTATTTTATGTTCTTATTGCAATAAAAGTTACTTAGAGTAGAGTGCACGGCTCACAACTGTCCAGTTCTGAGTTTTGGTAAATGTAGATTTAGTGTATCTGTCACTTCAGAAAGTTCTTTTGCGCCCCCTGCTGGTCAACCCACACCCCCAGGGGAAAACAATTCTGAAAATTGACTCCATTTAACCAGTTCTTCAGCTCCAGGAAAGTGGTTATTTCTCTTTTGGTAATAACTTCTTTCCATCAACACAATCACTTGCAGACTTATCTATGGCTCCTCTATCAGCAGTCACCCTTCTTGGTTTGTTGTTTTTTTTGACATGCTCTCACTATGCAGTTCAGACTGGTGCTGGACTCACTCGAGCTTGTGTGATCCTCCCGCTTCAGCCTCTCGAGGGCTGGGATTACAGGTGTGTGCCACCACACCTGAACAGCCATCCTATTCATTAATCAGAATATCACCGATGGATAAGCCGTAAACACTAAGGAGTTCTCTTGCCGTAAACACTAAGGAGTTCTCTTGCTTGCATCTGAAGTGTTTCCAGGTGTGCAGTATTATGACTGGAGCTGCTGTAAGAACTTTTTGCTGCCATATTTCTGTGGCGATAGATGATGGATGAGTGGAAAAGCAGATAAACAGGGCCATCTCTGCTTCAGGAAACACCGAAGTGTGATTTTGCTGGGTCAGGAATTCAGGGGACCTTGAACTTAGCAGCAGTGTGAGCAGGCCTCAGTGACACTGGTGCTGCCAGCCTGGCTGGGGGGCAGCTGTCACAGTGTGTCTTACGGTTATTTTCGTGGATCCTGCAGGAGGCTGGACAACTTTCACGTGCGAACTGGTCATTAATACATCTTTCTTGTGAAGTGCCCGTTTAAGTCTCTGGCCTAGTTTTAAAAGTTTATCTCTTTATTTCTGATGTGTGGGAATACTTTATACATAGTGGAGGCAAATTCTTTCAAAGATATTTATGCTGTCAACAATTACTACCTGTCTGTGCCTCCTGCTACGTTCCTTTCATGAGCAGAGTTTGACAGAATAAAATAACTCTCTAAAAAGTAAACCGACATAAAAGAATTTCAGGAAGAAAAAGAATTATATTGTAGGATGAGGTCACATTTCCATATTTTGGGCATTAGAAATACTTTAAATATACTTTCCTATATATATGTGCACATATGTACAATGTTTATATATCCACATAAAATATGCTACATAGATCTGTAGGTGTTTTGTAAGCAGAGACTTTAATTTTGTGAACTTCAAGTTTTCAGATCTTATTTATGGTTGATATTTTGGTGTCCACGGTTAAAAAATCATGGCCAGCTCCTAGGTCCCAGTCACGTTGTCTTACGGATTCTTCTGGAAGCTTTCGGTTCCAGTTCTTCTGTGGAGTCAGCCATCCGCCCACCTCTGGGCTCTGAGCAGTGAGGCCATTATGAAATCCAACTCTCCACCTGGGATCCAGGGCGCTGCCGTGCTCACGGCAAGGCGCTGCGACGTGGGGATCTGTGTCCTAGCCTGACACCAGTCTGGCTACTGTGGCTGTACCACCAGTTTTAAAACTCAGTGCTGCGGCATCCTCCAAATTGGCTTTCCCGTCTCAAGGCGTCTGGGGTATCCGCGTCCTTCCTTCATCCACACGGGAAGCCCTGCCTGAGTGCCAAGGTCTGCTGCGGCCCTGCTGAGCGCTGTGCAGATGCAGCGCTGGTGGAGGAACCCACAAACAGCAAGGCCGTTTCCGCCTCAGGTGTGGTAGAGAGCCCCTCACTCATCACGTCGTCTTTAGTCTCCTCCAGAAATGTTTTCTGACTCTCAATCTCTAGGCCTTGCAGACCTTTTGTTAAATTTATTCCTAACAATTCCTTTCGGGTTATTTCTTGGGATGGTTTTTAAACGCTCTTCTCAAAATTTCACAGTGTTTGCTGCTAGCCCAGGGTCACACGGTGGCACCCTGACATGCTACGTAAGCTCAAGCACGGTTTCCACTAGTTGCTTGCAGGTTCCTTAAGATTTTCTATTTCAACAGCCACCTTTTTGCAAATATAGCCACTTTCCTTTTTCTCTGCAAAGCATAACACTTTCACTCTGTTCTCTTCTCTCACTCATCTAGCTCAAACCTCCAGAAATGAAAGGAACGATGAAAACAGACTCCTTGCCTTCTGGCCAGTCTTAATGTAGCAGAGGATGCCCCTCACCAGCCAGGAGACTTCAGTTTCTGTTAGTTGCCCAGGTAACAGTTCCTGTACTTCTGTTTCTTAGAAACAGCTGGCCCCCGTGATGCACGGGGTAAGAACCAATCAAAGGCATCTGAGGCCGCTGCTTCTGTATGCTTAATGCGTCCAAACTCCATATAAGACCTAGACCATCAGAGATTGGGGTCTGACGTTTTGGGAATGATCCCAGTCAGTGCCCATCGATGGAAATAAGTCTGCCTCCAAATCCTGGGCAGTTTTCTGTTTGCCAAGCATCTGATACACCAGCCACAACCTCTTTGGTCACTGGCCATGGCCCTCACAGATGGAACAGGGACCTCTTACAGGTCCTGATAGGAAGGTGCATACTCGAGATTCCCCTCCAAGGTCTGAATGAGATTCTTAGCTCCCTGTTCAGTGGCTCACATCAGACCCAAGAGGGAAGAGGCCTCAGTCTGCCTGCCTGCCTTGCAGATTCCAGTAAGAAACCCAGGGGCACCCCAGTTAGTCTGTCAGTCCTGCTCAGCCTGAGGGAAGGAAAGCCCGATCAATTCTTGTTAGTCAGGGCCACCTTCAAGGAAGGGTTTGGAATGTTTAACCTCTGAATGCCTGCTAAATGACTGTGTGAGGATTTGTAGTGGTCAGCAAAAGCAATAGGCCATTCCATCTGTGCTCTACAGTGAGGAGCTGGACTTCTCTCTCTGACCCAGGAAGCCTGATTGGGTCCAATCAGCAGTTTCATGGACATGTCTAATAAGAACAAAGCAGTATACCTCCTGATGCTTCTCCTTAGTCCAGATGGTGCCAACACTGCCCGGAGGCATCTGAAGGGTCCCACTCTCTGAAGGACACCACTCTTCATCTATTACATCACTGTTCAAGAGTGCACAACATATTTGTACGGAGTCCGAAATAGGAACGAATTAGTCAAAAGCCATGGGCCCTGGCTGAAGGAAAAGGGCTTTTCTGGTGACCAGAGTTAAAATGATGTAAGCTGTTGAAGGCTCCCTGAAGCTGCTGCTCCCAGAGCCTAAACAAAGACCTGAGAATTCCACCTGGGCAAACCGCTGTAGCTTTCCAGACACCAAAATGAAACAAAGCCACCCAGACAAGCGCTTCGAAAAAACATCAAAGAGAGGCCAAAAGGCCATCAAAACTAGTACTCTTACCCAGAAGCCCAATAAAGCTCCTGAGATTTTTTTTTTTTTGAGCAACTCTATGAAGCCTGCAGGATCTGCACCCCTTGGACCCTAAGGGCCCTGAAAACCCACGGATGATAAATGAAGCCTTCACAGCACAAAAAGCACTTAGTATCTTCAAGAAAATCCATCTGACAGATGACCATACCCTCTGGTCAAAAAAACAGGATTAGAGTGGTAAGGGCGATGGACACTAAAAACTAAATGTTCCTCGGATGAAAAGGAAAGGACTCTCAAAGCTTCCACCTGGATCTGGTGACAACCCTTTCTTTGGTCTGGCAGGCTCAGATCAGGCCAGACAGGGGCCTCTTCTTCAGCTGGGTCACTGGAAACCCTCAGTCCACATCCATATTGGGGGCCAACTGTGATCTTCAGAAGCCCCCTGCCAGAGAAAGGTTCCCATCACGGCGGCAGCCAGGACTCCTGCTCTCACCCTTTCTGCCAGGCTCAAGCTTGCAACCTGGGAGGACACTGCACCAAACACGAATTCCCTCCCCAAGCCAGTCAGCCTCCTCCTGGTGTCCTTGCTTGCCTGAGAAGAAATATGATGCCTGCATGAGCTTGGGACAGATAATCACAATCCTGACATTCCTAAACTCTCCTCCCGGAGGCCCAAAGACTCACCTCTGGGCCAGGCCATCAACTACGCTCCCACATCCTCTGTCACAGGAAGCACAGACAGACATCCAGCTACACATCAGCCACCTACAGCAGTCTGAGATCCTG